TTATCTTTCTCAAAGACAAACTTTACTAAAATTTTAAAGATCTCAATTTTAGAGAATTAATGCACGAGCTAGAATAAAAACGATGAGTTTATGCCCTACAAGAGAGAGTTTAATTGATAAAGAATAGCCATATTCTCTATGGGTGAGGATCATGATAGGGGACTTAAAAAAGGTGGATTATCTGTTTGATAAAGTTGGCATTCAAGAGGAGGATGAATTGAGTGACACTTAATATTTTTAGATTATAAAGAAGAATAGAAATAGATGATGAGAGATTCAAGGAGAAAAAACTTTGATACCAAAAATTTATCTTGATTCAACCCAAAGCTTGACCTACATCCAGTTCTTAAGATCACCTTTGAGATTTTCAATTATAATCACAAGCTTAAGTGAGTGATTGCAACCTCAATATAACTCTCAAGACTTGACTAGTCTTATTTTTAACAACAAACATTGCTACAACTAGCAAGTTGTTACAATTCACTCAAAAAATCTCTTTTCAAGATTTTAACTTTGTTGTAAACAAAATTTCTTTCAAAAACAAACTCTGTAAAGAGTAGATTGAATACAATAAAAACTTAAGAACTAATAAGAGCCTTTTTACAAAGTTTATCAAGAGATGTTATATGAATGAATGCAAGACCTTTGATGCAGAAATTGAATGTTTTCAAGAATATTTAGATTTATAATATCTCACATAATGATAAAGATTCGCTTTCAAAACTTGAATTGAGTCATATGAATAGTTTGGCAAAGTTTAGACCATTGGAACATTGAATGCAATTATTGGTGACATTTCAAGTGTGGAACCAAACAATTCACACATAAAATAGAGCTTAGCCAAGTTCCAATCAATCATATATATATATATATATATATATGACAACTCAAGTGTGGACACAAGATGACTCATGTGTGATTTGTAAAGTGTAAGACTTAGACCATTCTGTGTGACAAATTAGGTATGGATCCCTCTAACTCTCATGGGTGAAATAGCTAGCAGAAAGCCAAAGCCATTCAGGATGGCAGATCACGCATAGAATATTCTACCTCTCATGTGTGAAAGGGCTGATCAAAAAACCCAAGCCATTTTAGAAGACAAATCATGTGTGGGACACTCTTCCATTCACACGTGATATGGCTAGTGGAAAACATAAGCCATTTTATAAGACAGATCATGCGTGAAACCAATATGCATTCAAGTGTGGATATCATAATAGAAATACTTAGTTCTTATAAGTGACAAATCATGCTTGAGCACATTACAAATCAGGCTTGAGTTGGCTTTTGGTTCTCTTAAGCCAAAATTGTGTTGAAGTGAATAAGTGACAAATCAAGCGTGGAAATTCTCCTTCAGGGCATGAATCATCACTGCTTTAAATGCAATATGATAGTATGTGACAATTCAAGCATGCATGCAAATTCATTACAAGAATGAATTGGATCACAAAAGCTTGATCAAGGCATCTCACATGCATAGGTGACAAATCACATGTGAATCAATCTGATTCAAGCTTGAAACGTCATGCAATGAAAAGCTCAATTGCTATGATCCAATTCAAGCATGACTCACTTTTCTTTCAAGCTTAAATTGACTATGACAAGTCTTATAATGCACAACAAAGATCATTTCAAGCGTGGATCATTCCATATCAAGCTTGAAATATACAAATTAACACAAGTGCATTCTAAATGTATGACAATTAAGATAAATGGACTTTTAAGCCTAAGAGCCTAAGGATGATGTATTTATTTTAAATGACATTATGATTAAGCTCTCATAATTTTCACATTGAATCTAAGAGAAAGAAATAACTTAAACCTATAGATCTTCTTGTTCTACTGATTCTTCAAGTTCTTGAAAGTTTTGCCATATCTATGGATCTAGATATCTATACAAAAAACAAACACTCTCTTGATTTTGTAATCATCAAAACACATGGTTCAACATTATCCATGTCACTTAAATCTATGACGTGGATAATGGAAACCACACGTCACTTTTTGAGCAAAGTTGACATGGTTTCTAAATAAACCATATCACTTGTGGTCAAAAGGCTATATTCAAAGCGGGACGTGGTTTCTTAGTTAAAAAACAAACCTAAACGTCAAGAAAAGGAGATGAAAAGCTCAAGAGTTTAACAAAGGAGATAGAGCCTTAAGTTTCAAGAGAGGAGAGGGAGGAGAAATGATGCCATTAGGTTGTAGGTTTTAAAAGAGAAGGGGAGTGGAGTAGAGACTATCGAAGCTGTAGGTGTCATTTCTATGAGCTTCTGAGATGCTGAGAGAAGAGGAAAGAAGAAGAGATGATGTCATCGAGCTGTTGGTTGCTGTCTAAGCTAGATTTCACTGCCATTAAAGCTAGGTTTCATTGCTGTGAGGAGAAAGTGATATAGTGAGCTTGAGAGCAACTAGCACACATATCAACTAAATAAGGGTCAGGTACAGGCTTCTAAATTTTAATTATTAGATCACAATCCACGTCACCATATCCAGTAGGCGACAAGGCTTGTGATTTAAAATTTTTTTAAAAAACTACTTGTCCATGTCAAGTGCCATGTGGATAAGAGATGTGGCCACAACACAAGTGATATGGTTTCTTAACATAAGCCACATCATCTCTCTGCTAGACAATGTGGCTTGTAGCAAAATTTATTTTTTAAAATTCTAATTTTTTAGAACCACATCGCCCAATATACTATTGGATAAGGAGGTATAGTAGAAGAATAAAATTTTAAATCCCTATCTTAGAGTGGATTGAATAAACTCATTTAAGTCAAGGTGAATTAAAGAATTACCTTTTAATTCTGAGCTCCTCATGTATTGTCTTTAAGTAATTGGATCTAAGGAGCTAACAAAATAAATCTGCTCCCTTTACCAATATCTATACGAACAGTTCTCTAACTCAAACAGTGTACTAGTGCTCCTAACATCTGTTCAGCTTTAAATGTTGATTTTTCTTTCTTTTGGGTGTTTCGTGGCTCTCAAAGTGTTTGGCCGTCGAAAATTTTCTTACTCTCAAAACCTTAACCTAGCACGTCCCTATTCTATATTATATATAGATTAGGATTTTTGCTTTTTTTTTTAATAGCCAATGTAAATATTCGATTAAATTTATCTCATAAATAAGATTTATAATATCATTCTAATTTAAATTTATATTATAAATTTAAACTATAGAATTGATATGATATTCTCTCATATCATATTAGTTATTAAATTTAATCTATCATATAAAATTAAATTAAAAACTAACACAATATATACATATTATATTATATTATATATATATATATATCTGTGTTTGTACATGAAAATACACATATATGTATATATATTTCAAATATATATTATATTATATTATATTATATTTTAAATTTTATATATCATATAGATATATATATACACAAACATGAATATATATATATATATATATATTTCAAAAATATATGTATATATATAATTATGTTTTGAATTTTATATTTCATATATATATATATATATCAAATATATATATATATATATAGATATAATTCATTCACCCTAGATAAAGTATTATATTTATTGAATCTAGACCCATTCCAGATTCAATAAACTTTAGACACACACACACAAACACACACAAACATGAATATATATATATATATATATAATTCATTCACCCTAGATAAAGTATTATATTCATTGAATCTAGAAACATTCTAGATTCAATGAATTTAGACATTTTAGTTGGAGTTGGGTTATTCTTGTGTGTGACCTTGTAGGCTCACATGAAGTTGGCAGTAGACTAATTACACTATCATCCCACAAGTCACAAGTAACATCAAGCAAGACACTACTACTACCCAACTCAAATGGAAATCGATGATCTAATGCAACTTATCATATAATTGTATCACATCTCTTTTGTCACACGATATTTTGGTCAACTGTGAGACATAGAATTGTTATTCTTCTTTACTTGACCATTACTTTATCGACCTCTGAGTGGACTGATATAACAATAGAAAAACCCTTTCAATTATAGTATAATCATATTTTTTTGGTCTTACTCATCGAGGAGCCCAATAATATCTCTTAATTAATGTGAGGGACAAATTCTATCTTGACTACTTATATTCTTCTACATGAATATCACTAAACTCAATCATAGCCTTTATAATCATCTGGTCAAAGGTGACTTTTGACTAGGTCAAAGGTCAATGGTCATCATGTAGAAATCCATAATAATCTCAGGTTAAATGGCTTAGTGATATGGCTATATATGAGATAAGCTTATGACTTGTACTATGAAGCTTTCTCATAGTATATCGGTCTAGCACCTCGAACCCTTTCAAGTGCTTACGACTTTGATTTATATATCTATATTTAACTAAAGTCATACTAGTCTCGTTTCATCTATGATCTCTCATAGATGACTGACCATAAACATTTAGGACAATCAATATAGTTTAACCAAGGATACAGTTGCCATAATAAATATGTAATTAATATGATAACAAAAGAAAAATTCTATAGATAACAGTATTCACATTATAATAATTGACTATAGGGCACAATTTTCAATATATACAAGGAATGTGGTTTATAGATACAAGCCACATCGCCCCTCTGCTTGGCGACATGGCTTATAGCAAAATAATTTTTTAAAATTATAATTTTCAAGAAGCCACATTTCCTTGTCTGTAGGAGATATGGCATTTGGAAAATTAAAAAATCTTTAATTTTTGAACAAGCAACGTCACCTTTACGTAGGGTGATATGGATTGTTCCCTTTCTATGTCACCTTTTTGTGAAGGTTACATAGATAGCTTTATTCATTCATTAGTTATTTATAGAATTGTCATCTGGATTAGTTTTAACTTCACGTTTTCAATAACTGACATGAGTTTAGCATAGTAAAAAAGGGTTTTTGTAGTAGTATATGTTGTCATTGTGACTATATATTTGATTATACAAATGAATGAATGTCGTCCTTTTTTCCTTATATTTGAATGTAGATAGAGATAAGATGTAGAGGACAACAACTTGGGCCTTTATTGACGTTGGAGCATGTAAGAGATAACATTTGGAGTCCCATGATGACCCCAACTTTGCTTTCAGATTCCTCAACCACGGATCACATCATGGTTCTCTACTACGGTAGATGTGCTTAATAACGCCCCCTCTCTGATGATCTCTTGTATCATTGATAACTTATTTTTAATTTTAATTCCCTTCTTTCAAAATTTTGCAAATTTTCTCTTCTATTTTTGCATTTTTATTTACCTTTCTTGGTTTTTATTGTTATTGGTTTTTGTCTATGCTTTTAAAAATAACTCATCAAACAGATGGAAATTACAGAATGGGAATCATCACCCTGCAACACGGTTGTTTTCTTTTTGGGGGTGACGCGAGAAAGCCCAAGATTGTATTTCTGTGCTCAGTATTCAAGTGTTTTACCTTGTATTAATTACCCACAACAAAGATTAATCTAATTAACAGACTAACCCATTTATTTTTCTTTCATTGTTTTGTAGATAAATTGAGAAGTGTAGTATTAGTATTACAATTTACAAGCTAAGCGAACACATGGAATAATTGCCTCTTTGTTTTTTGTAAATAGACTCGCCTATTTACCTTGGATTATGATACTACTGCACCAAGAGTCATCAACAGCCAAATGTACCCATGGAATAATTGCCTTTTATTTTTCTTGTAAAAAAGAAAGAAGAAGAAGAAGAAGAAGAAGAAGAAGATCAATTTATAATATAATAAAAAGAAAAATTGCAACATCGTTCCCAAAGTATCAAAAGAGTGGGAAAATGAGCGAACAAGTTCTCATTAACATAAACACAGAAAGAATAAAAAGAAGGTAGCAAGAAATATCATGCTCAATATGGAATAGAGATTGATCAGATGCTTCATATAGAAAAAAAATATATATATATATATATATATATCAGATGAGAGATTGGAGAAGAACTTTTGGACATTATATCTGTTGATTATATATCCGGTATAAAATCATGAGAAGGCAAACAGAAAAGAATGAGAAAATCCAGAGAGAATATTTTATACAATCCAACAAGACATGAAGCTATTAAAATTATCGTGCCGGAAAATTTAATTTTAATATAAGGAGGAATCGCCATATGCTCATTTATAGCAACACAAGATGGATTGAGAGTAGGACATACAACATGTTCTTTTACAAATTAAATTACTACTAGGTACAATAGGCTCAAGGGGTTCATGTTGAAGCGTCCAAGGTGATTTTACTATGATTTCCTCATCTACATTGTCATAACATGAATCTTCAATTGCCTCACTACACAAATTAAAGTAGTACGTATAGAAGAATCAATTTCAATAAGGATATATGATTTGTTACTTAATGGAGAAGAAGATTCCTTGTTAGACTTGTGATAGTGCTTGCTCCACTCCTTGCTCTTCAAGTGATTAGGGCCGGGCTTGTTTGGTTTTTGCTTTTAAAAATAGTTTTTTTGTTTTTAACAAACACTACTACAAAAAAAAAAATAAATAAATAATGGTTATTTTAGCCCATAAATGATGGTTAATGCATTATTTATGTAGCTAACATTTAAAGTCCTTCTAATAAATGACAATTATATAACTTTCATTTAAAATAAATTTTTTACAGAAGTCTAAGTGTCGCACCTGGAAAATGCAATGCCGATGGCGCAAGAGCGAAAGTTCCGGCCTTTAAGAAGAAGACCAAAAAAATGGGAGTCGCCACTGAGATTTTGAAGTAAACCTTGGGAAACCGTTTAATATTAGATAAGAATGGTCTGCGAAATTAAAGAATAGGTTTAGGAGTCGATTGAGTGTGGGGAAGGTGTAGGCACCCCACAACACCCGTTCGTGAAAACAGTTACCTAAAGTTTGTTGTGTTATATTAATATTGTCACACCCCAAAATTAGGTATGACTGGCACGGGATATGAGCACAAAACTCATATCCCTTAAGCCGTGATCAAGAAACTCTGAAATTAATACGTCAAACACACTAATAAACTAATTAAAAATTGTTATAATACTAAATCAGATATTAAATTTTAAAAGAAATGTGAGGATCCTACCTGTAATCTACGTGAGCATCTAAGGCCAGACACCAACGTAGGTGTAAAGTTCAATTTTTCAGCAAATTAGGATTTGACTAAAATAATTTTTCTGCTTCAATTCAGCAATAAAATTCCTCAATGGATATCTCGAGTTATGAGTTTAGCTATACCATTTGAGACCAAAATAATAACTTTCAGTGAATAACGTCCCAACAATAAATAACAAAACTTGAATAAAAAAAAAGTTTAAAATAATTGTGAGTCAAAGAGACAATAGTTTTCAGAAAAATGTAATAAAATTTAAAATAGGATAACTTTATAATTTTTTTTTAAAATTAAATCTTAAATCATTAAACTATCATAGCAAATATTAATAGGACTTGCTTCCAAGAAAACACATAAATGAGATCAATAGTTATAAATAAATTACTGAGTAACATCAATGGAATATAAAATCCTCAAATAATTGAATTCATAATTATAGAGACTTATCAGAATAATTTATAAATGTAGACACACAGTCCACGAGGGTAACTAACCAAACGCGGCTTATGCCACAAAAACAAACGTGGACACACAGTCCACGAGGATATGTAACCAAACATAACCGAAGCCACAAACAAACGTGAGTACGATACTCACGAATAACCATCCCTTCGTTCCACGTGCGTTGGCCATCGCACGGGGCAGCACCTCCTATAAACACCCTACTAGCTAGGGGTACCATGGCGCGCCAAGGGCTAACGGAACTGCCATTAGCAACCAGTGTTCTACATAAAGTCCCTTTTTAAAACCGTTTTCAAACATGCGAGAAAATCATCACTTTCAAGATACAGTTCTCATTCTCAAAATCAAACTTGCATGAATACTTTTTAGCATTAAAACTTGCCAGAATCAAATTTCATATCCAATGCTCATGCTTGCATTTATAAAAAAAAAATCTTTCAACTTCAAACTCGCATGAATCATTTTTTCGTAACAATTCAATAATTTTCAAATTGAAATCCCACAATTAAAATTCAAACTTGTATTTACTGATTAACTAAAATGATCAATTCTGATAAAATAATTTTACAAAATAAAGTAATTTAATCAACAAAATATCTCATAGTCACATTGCTGTCGTAAAAAGAATTTGCATAAAAATGTAATATTTGAATAAAAGAGCTTTTAATGAAATATCAGTTGGGACGCTATCCACTTACCTGATAATTTCCAAAATAATAATATGTGCTTTTTAAATGCCTCTCCGTTTCCCTTTAGCTATGCTATTACCTAGACCAAAAGAATAAACAACTATCTTTAATAAGAGCTCCAATTCATATATTTCTAACTGACATTCGTAAACCCAATATGTAATCTAGAATAATTTTAAAGTCCATAATCCTTATTTATCCTTAATCCACTATCCATATTTAGAATTATATTCTTTCTATTCCTTTCTCCCACCTATAATGACATATTCATCTTAACCATGCCTCCTTCCTTTAGTAACTGATAAATGATTTATCCTTAAGGCTCTTCGATAATTCTTCATAAAGTATACATTATTCAAAACAGTACAATTCCTTACCTTACAAAACCACAACCGATCTTATGACACCTTTAATTCAATATCATAAATATCATCAAGCATAACAAATTTCTTCCTTGTTCCTCTGTGCTTCAAGACCCAAACTACTCTAACAGTTTTAAAATTTCACCTAATATGTTCAAACTCTAACCTATACACCATCAAGTCAAACCATCTTTATTTTTATTCAAATCCTCTCATAGCTTAGGCATGTGTAGGATCAAACAAGCAATAAAGGAGAGTCTACAATCCTAGCTACATAAACATATTCACATAACACATATTAACATGTTCGTATCTATAAAAGAAACCAAGTGACCTAAACATTAAAATTTAATTAGGATTAATTTGGTAAAGTTTAAGCACTCATTTATGTAAAAATTTTCACTCAATTATTCTGTCAAACACTGTATGTGCAAGAGAAAATTAGTGTGACAAACTTCTTTCTTTCCTTAATTTTTTATCCAGGCCACATATAGACCCTAACAAGTCTTCTCCTAAAAACTCATGTCCAACATAAACAGTTACATGCAGCAGTAACAGAGGGAAAGGAAATTCTTGTGGCTTCCATCATAAACTCACGCACTTAATCACACAAGACCATCAAGAAAGAGAGTTCGAAGCCAATGGTTTCTCTAACACATACACACATACAGAACCGAGGAGGAAGAAAGAGATTTGAAAATCCATACCTTTGATCAATAATATCAAAAATGTAAAAGGGTACACTGCTGTTCGAACAAGGAAGAGGAAGAAAGAGATTCTCATGCATGCACAACAGCCAGCCAAACAGAGCACCGAGAGCGGCGCGAAACAGAGGAGTAGGAGAAATCATGTATTAGATCTCCAGCAACGGTGGACGGCGTTCTAGCTCACAACCTCATTCGCAATGTTGAAGGCAATCGAGGAAGGAAAGGAGAAGGCGAAAGAGATCAAGAATTTCGGTTCCTCTCTCACTCGAGCACCGGTAACAGATCAAAGAAAAATGGGAAAGGAGGATTCAGTAACGAGAAAATAGGGGAGAGATTTAGGCATCACCATTACATGAAGGACGAACTCGCAACTTCGAGTCTTGACAGTAGCGGATTCATAGCGAACACCGACATCAGCGACGGACTGAGCAGCCAAGCTTCTCACTCGCACACTTTAGAAACACAGAAAGAGAATGGATGGAGAAGAACAAAGGACCAAAACTCTCGAGTTTCTCTCTGGCCCACACTCACACCGGCGACGGCAAGGACGAAGGCTGAAAGAACAGAGGGAGAGAAGAGGCGATCTCTCTGGTTTCTGGAATTTTCAAAGAAGGAGAAAGAAAAATGAAAGAGGCGGTGCCCGTATCTGACCAAAGGAGAAATATAATTTGAATTTTAAGAAATTGCAAAAATTACAAAAGAGAGCCCAAGATTATCTCTAATAACATAAAAGACACGGACACTTTGGTAAATTTTCCAAAATTTTAAACTAAATAAAATTAATATCTAAAAATATTTAAACTTTAGACCTTCAAGTAAGCTATTAATATAATTTTCACTAATTCACCCTTTTCCATTTTCCATAAATAAATTTAAATAAAATATAAATTGGGAAATAATAATAAAAATTAATTTTATTTATTTTTTTATTTTTTTTAAATTTTAAGGTCATTACAAATATAATTCTTTAAAATTATTTTAATTATTCCTTTTATATTCATGTGTTTGATATAAAAAATGATAAGAATTAAGTGAGAAATATTTATTTATTTATTTATGAGGGAGGGCTTGACTCAGAATCTGACTCTGAGGCCTACGTACTCTGTGATGATGATCAAAGTTCACGTAGTTCAAGCTTATAAGTTTGTTGGTGAAAATATTTTTTTTGAAGAGAAATTAATTAGAAATAATTTATCATTTTGAAAATAAAAATAATTTCTAAAATTTTGATATGTGTGTCTTAAATTGCAAAAAGTGATTTAATTTCCATCATTTTCTCAATTTTTTGAATTTTTTGAAATAAAGAATAGAGTTTTAAAATTATTTTTCATGTTTTATTAGTTTTTTTAGAAAATTTAACTATTATACCTACAGAGCCTTATTAACTCATACGATAATACATTTATTCTAAATATCTGCGGAGATTTCAAAATCTCTCATGATAAAAAGAGTGAAATAGTGTAAATATTTTAAGTATATTTTAATGCGTAATTATATAAATTATATTTTTAAACGTAGAAATTTTAATCGCTATACCTGCGAAGTCTTATTGACTTACACGGTAAGATAATTATTCTAAAGGTCTACAGATATTCAAAAATCTCATATGACCAAAAGATTGAATACCTTAATTTGATTCATTAATTTTATTAAAAAAATTTATAATTTTATTTACAAAAATCATTTATTCATTATAGAAATTGAGGATCGCAACGTCTGTAAGGACTTATTGTTCTACACGATGATGTGATTAATTTAAGTCTCTATGTATATTTTTAAAATCTCACATGGGACTTAAATAAATTATTAATTTATTATAAAAAGTTAACTTTAATGATAGGCCTTTGAAACCCTATTATCATATACAAAATTGATCCTCATATCTGCAAAATCTTCTTAATTTTCACAATGTAGAATCATTTTCAGTGCCTATGGGAATTCTTAAAATCTCACGTGGCAAAATTTAAACATGATAGTTATATTTACCATACAGGCATTAACGGACGCACATATTAAGAATAACTCATTCAAACATAAAACAGGACAAAACAGTTCATCAATTTTCAATCAATAACAACAACAACAACAACAACAACAACAAGCCTTTATCCCACTAGGTGGGGTCGGCTACATGGATTGCAAGACGCTATTGTACTCTATCATTTATTAAGCTTTTAGAAATATTATTAATTAAGAGATCACGTTCAACAACTTCCAAGAGTGTTCTCTTAGGCTTTCCTCTACCTCTCTTAGTCGGACTCAAAGTTATCAATTTTCAATCAATCTCCATGAGAAATTGTGAATATATGCTGGATTGGCCTAACTATATCCAACATATAACTAAATAACTTACTGGTTTTGGAGTTCCTTGAGTGGTTGTACGAGACATATTGTGAGAGCCAGAAGAGCAAAAATGGCACTCTTGCATGACCCAGCTGGTTTTAGTGCCATGAGGAGCTTCTCCATTGTTGAATACTAAATATTTCTTGATCTCGACTTTCTTCCCAGCAACTAAGACTACTGACTCAGTCACTCTTATTTCCTTCCAGTACCCACTTTCTATCACTCTTTGTTTTTTTATACTTGGTGAAGAAATAGAATTGGTTTCCACTTGACAGTGCCTTCCCATTAAGCTGAAAAGGACTAGTGCCTTCCCATTAAGCTGAAAAGGACTTTCACCTCCTATAATATTTCCAAGTGCTTATCAAGAAGAGGATAGCACATGGTATTCTTTACTCTCAGTCCCTCCTCCAGTCTCTGCTTCTCGTTTTTTTTCAGTTTCAAATCCCTCCAATTTTTCGTGCTCTGTTTTCCTCTCCGTCTCGAATCTGTCCTTATTCCAGCTGCTACGCTCTCTAACTCTCCTTCTCTGTCTCTCTCTCTCCTCCAGAAAATTCCTCTCTCTCTCTCTTTCTTCTTTTCTGCTCTGTTTCTCATTCAGCCGTGTTCTCTTCTTTCCGTCTCTGTTTTCTTCCTTTCGTCTCTATCTCTTCTCTTCGTCTCTATTTTTCTTGTTCAGTTTCTCTTCTCTCTCGGTCCTTTCTTGCTCAAATGTTCCCAATTCTCTCTCTCTCTTACCATTTTTCTCTCTTCCATTTTTTATCGTCTCCCCTTTATATTTTTCTTCTATCTTTTTCATTTGGTTCTCATGCATTTTTTGCTGAAACTCTTTTCCTCTTTGTTCAGGCTTCTTCTATGCTTTATCGCTCTATCCTTCCTTAGTTTTCTGCTCTCATTCTCGTGCTCTCTTTTTTCTATTTTTTTGCATTTTTCTTCCCTCCTCCTGTGATCTATTTTTCTTCTATTTTTCCGTCCACCCCCTCTCCAGTTTTTTGTCCTTCTCCTGTGTCCCCCACTCTATCTTTTTTTCTGTTTTAAAGAGGAAACAGGAGAGTTGTGTGTGAAGAGCTTACGTGCTGTGCGCGTGTTTCGTTTGTTCACTGTGTCCCTTCTGTCTCGCATGTGTGTGTGTTCTCTGCGTTTGCTTCTTCTGTGCTGTTTTCATGCTCTGTGTTTGGCAAGTACTTTTCTTCTGTTACGTGCGTCATCTCTGTTTCTCTGTGTTTCTGCATGTGTGCTTGCATGCGTCTGTGCTTCTGCTTCTTTTTCTACGTTTCATGTGCTGTTTTTATGTGTGCATACTGCAAGCTTCCTTTCTACTCGTCTGATGTTCTGTACTAAAGGACTAGAACTAATAGTTAAACGCTGGATTTTCCAGCATTTAACCTTCAGTTTACACACACACACATATGTATGTATGTATGTATTTGACCATAATTTTTTAGTTGTTTATGTATTTTTTTTGAAAAATAATCCTTAAAGGATTGAATTTTCATTTTTTTATATTTATTATATTTTTAGTTGTTTTAATGAGTTAAGGAAATAAAATCCTAATCAGTAAATTATAATATTAAACTCTATTAATTAAAGTATTTTTTTATTTTGAAAATATAATCCTAAAAAGGATTAAATTTTAGTTTTGTATTTTTATATTTTTTGATTATTTATTATTATTTTGTTAACTAAAAGACAAAATACATTTTTCACAGTTACCCCTCTTTACTTGTTTTTTATGTAAGTGTATGAAAAAGTGTGTTTTTGAATTCTTATATAAGTGACAAGTAAAGATAGAACATGTATTTTGGTCATCCATGTAATGCCTATAAAAAGACCTAATTGCCCTTGACACAACAAGATATGATTAAATGCGAGACTATTGCATAACAAAAACAATGACATGATTTTTTTTATTATTTTCTTTATTTTAATAGTGTGATGAGGTGATGCGATGCAAATAGAAATGATTGAACAAGACTATTGGATAATGAACACAATAAAATGATTTTTTTTGTTTTAGCAATGTGATGAGGTGATGCGATGTAAATGGAAATGACCAAGTAAAAATATAGAAAGAAGTTGCAAACAATTGATAATGATCCAAACAAAATATATGTTGATCAAATGCCCCCCTTTATTTGATTTCTAAGTGAGAATTTCATGAGATGATATCCTTCTCTCAGAAATGAATGAAGAAAGAAACATGTATTTTGTTAGGAGGGGCAAGACTTTTATGAAAACTTTGATCCTTTGATTGATGGGCACTTGTCTTTACAAGGTTGCAAGCAGATAGAAAGTGCCTACTCATATAGGGCTTTTGGTTAGTGCCTATTTTTATAGGGCTTTAAATGGTAAGGAAGTGCCTATCCAAGTAGGGCTTTGGTGCGTGCCTTGCTTTACAGGGTTTTAAATGGTAAGGAAGTGCCTACCCATGTAAGGCTTTTGGTGGGTGCCTGTCTTTACAAGGCTTTGAATTGTAAGGAAATACCTACCCATGTAGGGCTTTTGGTGGGTGCCTATCTTTACAGGACTTTAAATGGTTTAGAAGTGCCTACCCATATAGGGCTTTTGGTGAGTGCCTGTATTTACAAGGCTTTGAACAGTAAGGAAGTGCCTACCCATGTAGGACTTTTGGTGGGTGCCTATCTTTACAGGACTTTAAATGGTTTGGAAGTGCTTACCCATGTAGGGCTTTTAGTGAGTGCCTGTATTTACAGGGCTTTGAACAGTAAGGAAGTGCCTACCCATGTAGGGCTTTTGGCGAGTGCCTGTATTTACAGGGTTTTGAACAGTAAAGAAGTGCCTACCCATATAGGGCTTTTGGTGAGTGCCTATCTTTACAGGGCTTTGAACGGTAAGGAAGTGCCTACCTATGTAGGGCTTTTCACGAGTGCCTGTCTTTACAGGGCTTTGAACGGTAAGAAAGTGCCTACCCATGTAGGGCTTTTGGCGAGTGCCTGTCTTTACATGGCTTTAAACGGTAAGGAAGTGTTTACCACTACTACAAAATAAGTTTACAGGAGCGCTTTTTTTTTACTTTAGGGAGCGCTTTTGAAGTGCTCTCGTATCGAGCGCTCCGAAATGTATAGGAGCGCTTAAAAAAAGCACTCCTGTATACACGCTATACGGGAGCGCTTTTCGAAAAGCGCTCCTGTAAGGGAGCTACATACGGGAGCGCTCTCTCTCGTATGCAACCATACTGGAGCGCTTTTATAAAGAGCGCTCCCGTATGAACCATAT